TAAAAATTTGAATATATCAACTTCGTTGAATTGTGAAAAAATACCCTCTACTTAGTGTAAGAATTGGATAAGATAACGTTGGCAGGTTTACGTATAAAGGACTGCCTTTGTGCACAGACGCCTTCGCAGGTTTCCTTACTAAGATTCCTTTAACTAGTGAGATATTTAAAAAGTCTTCATACACAAGAAAGGTTTTCGCGTGACAATCTTTTGAGTATACATTGTGATTAAGCGTTTTATTTCGGACTTAGTCAGGAAGCAACATCTTACAATCTCTTTAACTGCGGAAAAGGTCCATCAAATCTTTAAAAAAAGTATTTCAGCTGTGCAGCAAATGTCATGGGAAAATTTAAGATAAAAGGCATTAATAATGTGAAACATGCACAATTTTAAATGTCCCATTTTTTCAACATGCTTCTGAGTTTGAGTAGTTTGTCGTGCGTATAGTTTCCTTAGATTGGTTCAAAGAAGTGCCTTTCAGTATTTAACCAAATACTTCCACAGCACACGTAAGAAGACAAATCTGATGTGAAATCAAGACGACCTAAATAACCAACTAGTTTTCTGGGACCAAGAGAACATAAACAGACAAAATCAATGTAGAACCTCACACACAAATGTATCGATCCAAGTTGCCAAAATTCAAAGTAGCACGTGAAGAACCATGGATAGAAAAAGACTGCCATCAAATAACACAAATGTGTATGTGAGAAGGAGGCATTCATAGTCAAAGGTTATTAAAGATAATCAAGCTTCAGATGTCAAAGAGTGAATACGTCTACCCATTGCGACCATTTTTCCATAAGTCCTCAGCCACTGACTGCTATCGTTTCGGGGACCCCAACCAAGCAATCTGCATCTTCCCATAACACTCAGACAACAACTGGTGGCACGTCTTGACCTAGCCAACTAAACTCTTTTCCAACCTAATTGAACTTCGCCAAGCATGCCATGCACAGTACACATCCAAGCCACCTTAGTCGGTGAAGGTTCATAACCTCATCTACCGACTTGCCTGTCTAGCTAGTACCACTCGTTCGACCTCAACATTTGATTCCACCATATGCTAGCAATGCTACGAAGGTTGAAAACCTGTAATCTCTTCACATCTGCTTTCAACAGCCTGTCCCACAGTCGCATAGCAGGACAAAACGTACTGCAGCGCGGCATACTCATCTTTTAACAGGTAGTCGGGTATCTCATCATCCGACGTCAGAGATGAGACACACCATACATCCACGGCTAGAGATTCTAGTGAGCAGAGTCTAGGGTTCGGACGTTGAAGGATCTAATATGAAATAGACAGTGGGGTTTAGGGGACTCTGAATAAGGTTTTGATGCATTTGAGCGCCGGCAATGGATTCAGAGTGAAAGGTTGACCAAGAAACCCAGCTTAGTATTGGTATCATGAGTTAAAGGCGAGGAAGGAAACAAACGTGAGGAGGATAGGTTATGTTTGATTGGATTTTGTATACTGCTGGAAGCGTGCGCCTGCCCATACCGTCGAAGGCTATATCTTCTTTAGGTATCTGAAAGAGAAAGCGATTTGTATGACCGTAGAGCCTATGAGACATCTGCTTCAGGTTGTCACGAAAAGTCTTTTGAGAACTGTCGGTTTGAGATTTGGTTATTTTAACGCCGAAAAAGAAAAGCCCTGCATTGAAAGGCAAAAGAGCAAGGAGGTGTGGTATTTGGGGACCAACTGTTTTTTAACTGCTCAGCCCCACAGGGATGGTAACATTGAGACGACAGTGAAGGCCATTCGCGGGAAATACTTCTGTCACACCCAGTAGCACGACTTGGTTCTCGGACTCTCACCATAGTGTAACAACTGGCACAGTAAAGATAACTCCTCATCCTACAACTATCCAACAGACCTTCTTGACACGGTAGGACCTTGAGGTAACCAGTGCTCCACCAGTATAGCTTGTTGAGTCATTGTGATATTGCAAGTTTGACCACCATATCAAGATAGCAGCTATTGGTCGGGAGCAAGAGAAGACAGGAAGCTTCAGTCATGGGTTAAAATCAACATACGCTATAGACAATGAACCGCATATTACAGCAACTGCGAACTCCGTTGATTAGTCAGCGAATCTAGATAATCCAGAGTAGCTGCAAATAAGGGTCAAGTAAACATTGGTGATGTAAATGAAATAATATTTATCTAAATGTTTGGGACGACAATTCACAGTGATATACAACAGGTGAAACGTATAATCCGATGACCAGCACCAACTATTAATAATGGTAGCTGCATAACCACCGCACTTTTTTTTGTTAAACTAAACCGAACTTGGCGGGACATTCTGAAACTATTTAGAATCTAGATTGTCGTAATATAGGTTGTGGAAACAAGTTTCTTGCAATTTCATTAAACCAATATTACAGCTAACATAAGAACACAGAAAGTCCACCTTAACCAGTAGAGATCTTCAGTTCGAGCTGATTATTTCGAGTGGTACCATTTGATAAATAAATAGTATGGAATAATTTATTAGCCTAAAGGTAGACACCCCTGCAAATATCGATGTCAAGGTAAAAGTAACCGGTATTTACAGAAATAAATTTATTGAATAAAATACACTTCAACTCTCAGAAGGGCCCGTGATTATTGTCTCCACATCCATAAGGTTCTTTTTAATACTGCAACAAAAGAGAAATGTTATTGTTCAGATACTGACTGATATATGTCTTAAGATTATCTAATGTTATCATTTTTAAGTGTCAGTAAATCTGTGTAAGAATGTAGTTTCAAAAGGCGTTAAACTGATATTTACGTCTACCAGAATCAGCGATTTACAATTTTATTAGCTCAGAAGCGAAACCCATAAGTAAAGCTAAGACACTGCTATATACAGTCCATAATGATAGTTTTGAATTGTGATTACCATAGATGCTGAGCTTCCAACCCACAGGCTCGAAACCCGTTCCACTAACCGGTTTGAGAAGCTTTTATACAACAGATTTGGCTCGTGGTGTACTGCATAAACCTGCGCATAGCTGCTGAGTTGTGTTACATGATAATGTTAAAACTTTCTGGTAGGCTAACTAGGTCATTCTTTGTACCACTGGAGTTGTAATACGTTGACTCAAGCATTCGACATCTAAAACTATCGGTATTGGGTTCAAATCAATTCAACCTCTCCAGCAGGCAAGCGTCATAAGCCTTCATACAATAAATGTGGTTCATTACCTAACACATTAATATCTATACCACATCGAGTTGCATTAATTTTTTCTTGGTTCTTTCCATGTTTTCTAAAAGAGTTCATTCCAAACAATTTTTTAGCACAGGGTTCTACTGAAAATAATGATAATGTAGTGCTTAAGTTTGGAAGATATTCCTGCAGATTCTACGCGTCATAACTAGTCTAATGAATATGTTCCATAAATTAAGTAAAAGTTTGCTGGTAATTACCTGAATATAAATAAGTCGCTGACGTTAAGTTAAGTGGGAGATAGGCGAACTCAGTAAATTTGTTTCCGAAAAATAAATTGCACTCATTAACCATTTCAATTTTTTTTAAATATAAGGCATTAGTCACCAAGTTAATAGCTGTAAAGATAAAAGTCGACAAAGATATGCATATGTTTTTGATGGATGGTCGTCTAGCCTACTACTCACAAATTTATTTACGTACTTTGTTCCGGCGGTAGTCGTGCATGTATATCACTCAAACAAATAATATTACTCACTCCTTAGTGTCATAAAATAGGCATAGGCTAGTTAACGCTCCGAAAACTTTGATCTAGCGTTCTAGTAGTTGCGTTAAATGATATGATCAGCTTCGCTTCCTTATAAAGTAGGCTGCAGTTGTGAATACGGGACATTGAATGATTTGTGATTTTTGTCACCGACGTAAATGATGAGATGTTCACAATTAAACACTAAAAATGAGCGACTAACAGAAAACTATAGCTACTGACTTTTATGAGGGCGAAATTCAGAGTTGAAATGTTAGATAATGTCTTTGAAAATGGAAAGTTACAAACAGTTCGCTATCGCAAAAAATGTATAATTAAGCGTTGCATGGAAAACAAATTATTACATTCTTGTAAAACCATGACTTTATGGATAAATATTTCGTGAACGCAAAATAACCGAAATCGTTATTCATAGATCACTTAACTACCACTAACTAAGATGACATCATAGTTGTTGATTAAAACCTCGATAATTTACACAGACTTTCAACTAATAAACTTTGAGTTTAAATCTATTTCACACGCTCTATTTAGGTTGGTCAAATAGAATCAGCAGGCATACACATGATGGTTGCAGCATGTCTTTGATCTGCAGCAGTCATAAGTGTACAAAAACAAGGTTACTTTCAGAGAAATAAAAGCTGGTTTTCTCAAACGAGTTATACAGACAGTTTGAAATTTTTGGAGTTCGATATTTAGTAGTATTAGGATGCACTAAACAGTTTTTCAACCTGCACCCAAGGGTATGGGGCTGTTCCCACTGAATCTCGAGCCCAGAAAGTATTGATTTCAGCAACAGTGCTATCTGTTTCGTGAATATATATGTATATATAACAAAAACTAACCTATAAAACCAATTAATTGAACTGCGTTGACACTCAGTAAGATTTAATGAAAAGTAAAATTCAGTAAAATACATTCATTGCGAACAGATAATTACATGATCTAGTTTCTTTTGTCCTGTACTCTAGTTGGTTTCTCTACAAGAAAGTTCTCACTTCATGCGTTAACAAAGAAGCTTAGGAATATGAGTGATCATTATTTATTAAAGTCTTCAGTTTCACTAACATTCACCTACCTAATTCTGAAAGATTCAGTTTAAACACTATGAATTTCAAGTAGTGCAAAGTGGAATAATCGCTCCGTACTCAGCAAGTAGTCAGAGACTTTTAATTTAAAGAAAGCAGTACACATTTACCTTAACGATAACAACTAAGGGAGAAGAACTTACGAACATTCTTCTTCTATCAGATTCAACACATCTAGTATAGGTTGGTTGCAGGATTTTGTGACTAATGAATTGTGAATATTTTCAGAATACACAAAAATAATCTTTGCTCAGTAGAACTGTAAAAAAAAAACAGTTTCGTCAAATTACAACACGGAAGAGCAAACTAAAAATGTTAAGTGTCAAAGGGACAAGAGATGATAAAGTGAGTAGAAAGGAGGTCAAATTGGTGGTCAGATTTGAACCAAAAGCCTCTCCTTAGTAGGCAGCATTACTTTAAATTAGCTTAGATATGAGGCAAAAAATGACCAATGATGTGGATAAACTGAACGGCTTACATTTTAGAAGAGGGAAATACTATCGTCTTCAATAATCCCCAACACCCGAACTATGTGGTTGATGCTGCTGACAATACATAAAACTTGTCATCAGGATCTCAAGGTAGCATTTATCATGGACGGACATCAGTTGGAGAATCACTGAAAACATGGAAGTACTGAACACCTGTTCTGTTCTAGTATGAGATCCCTCAGTAGTGCGCACCCATGAAATAGGAACCTAATTTCACTTCCTATTGAAATATGTCTTACTGATAATCTTGAAAGTCACTACAATTAACCTAACTACAGTACGCTTTGCTGTACAACAGCACGAAAGCTCAAAAAAGATGATCAATTCACAAATCATTCACAAATTATACATTTCACGTTGAGATTTCTCATAACCGAGTAGTTTTTGAATTCCCAAACTGATGAGCTCAGCTCCACATGAATAAAACTGCAGTCCAGTGATAACATCACTCTAATCAGGTCAGCGAACTCTGAAGGGATGACAACTGTTCGAAAATGATCGAAACGTAGAAACTAGTAGTGATTAATATAGGTGTAAAACCTGTGCACTGTGGTAGAATTTAATTCGATATTAGATTTGTTTGTTTGATTTATAACACGCAGTGTTATAGCATTAGTGGTGAGTCTAGAGTGAAATCATAAACTGTTGGATAAATTATTCGCGATCAAATTCCAAAAATTCATAGTACTTGTTTGAAACACACCAAATGTTCATCATCCCAATTTCTATGTTCTTAACCCATAGAAGAAAAAAATAGTTTGTTATTTTCAAACAGTATAAATTGTTGCGACACCAACCGACTATTTTTTTTTCTCCATCAAACACTGAAACGCCATGAAAAATGCTACAATGCAGTTATTGAGTAAAAAAACTGTGTTATTGTGGCGCTTTTAAATTTAGATTTTTATTAACAGGTAAGAATTAATAGTTTTCGAAATAAGTTTTACAAATCAATCCACTTAACTTGTCCTGGATACATGTATCAATTCATCGAACATACAGATAAACTAACGCGGTTCTATCGTAACAACCGAATATACCAATCCTTATGAGTGAAAAAACTTAATCGATGTTTCTTTCTTGTATATCTTCAACTTCAACATGTGCAACCACTATAGTACATTACTTTCTATGATATATATTAGTGTTGAATATATACACTTTGCAAAAAAAATATTAAGATTTTTAAGTTTTAAGCTTCTAGTAAATTCATAAATCAGGATGTCACGCTAATATGATTTACTTTCAGGCGAATTCACGTTTACTGTTCCATTATAAATCAATCCGGAAGATTAAAACTTCCTATTTATAACTAGAATCCTTGTGTAAATCAATAACGGCATTAATACTTTTCATTACGTTAGTTTTCGATGTTAATAAGTTGGAGTGACTGATGAGATAGCCAATTACATTCCGTAATTTTATGGGGAAAAAAACTTTCCCAGGTGAAATACCGAAACCTGATTGGTCATTTCAGTAGTTGCTACAGTGGCCTTTAAAGTCAAGCGGTTTTGAAGGCCACCCTAACAACTGTTAGGATAACCATTCAGGTTTCAGTATTTTGGATGAGATGGTAGTCTTCATAAAATGAGGAAACGCAATTGGTAATCTCAGCAGTTGCTAAGGTGGTCTTTAAAGTCACTCAATAACCTGTCCTATGCTACAATGTGCGTCATAGCATTTAAGTTGATAAAGTTCGAACATGTACTTTTTCATCAAGCCTAGTAGTAGTTACTTTTAAAGGGAGTATATTCACGACATAAACTGATCTTCCGGGGTTATCATTTAAAGTAAACTGCGGACATGTGATACAGTCCTCTGATTTTCAGTACCTGTTGGATTAGCGCCAGCTGCTTACCAGTAGATTATTAGTTAGAAAGAAAAGAAAGCTGGACAGAAATCAAATACAACTTCGGTGCTAAGCGTACAAAGGAATACAAAAATGCATCCCTACAGATGGTAACAATATTAATGCTGTCCTACAGTAAACTCATAGATCTAAGTATATTTATATCATGTATATAAGAGTTGATGAACTACAGCATCGGGTCAGTAATTATCAAACCGCATATAAATTTCCATCACAATACTGTCGATGATAAAATCCACATGCCTAACAGAGAAATGATAAAATTCAATTCCTAATAATACAATAAGAAAAAGTCATTTGCTTGAGTCGTGTAGCGTATTTGTGCAACATATTTCTGACAATCTCATCACGTGCCTGTCATTCCCATATATATGGAAAATTACAGAGTTAGGGGGCAAAAACATGACTATCGGTTGAAAAAGAACATCATATAGAAAGTTAAAATAACAAAGAAGATAAGGGAATCAACAACGACAAAAAATTACTGACATAAACTCGGTTTCAAAGTCGAATTTATCGAAGAAAGTGTAATGTGATGACGAATCGCCTACCAACATAAACAGATGGCTTAAACCTCCGAATGGTTAACCGCTCAAAAGTTTAAACTACACCCCGAACAGGTCTCATACATGTCCGCAATGGCGCTTTACATCTATTTTATACCCAGCTTCAACAACCTATTCTGCCATTGGACAGCTCGAACGTTCGGTCAATACAAACAAAAATTTAAGCTCTTACGTTCTCAATACACGCTGATGAATATGACAGAAATAGTATAAATTTAGACTTACCAAGAGTAACCACCCTTAGGAATAATTCCGCATAGCTATTTTCCTTCAGTCACCAAGCACAGTGAAACAGCTTATAATTTACTAGCCGGTCTAAAGCCCGGATAAAAAGGGAAGGTTGGGCATAGACCTAACAACCCTACCCCGTAAAACCAATCTAACCGCTACAGAAACCTCAAATCACAAAGAAAATATAAAACACAAAAACAATATTATTCCTCGGTGGAATCGGAGAGATGAAATGATGCCGGTTGGTGTAAGCCTGCCTTCGGGAAACCAGTTGGCTGATGTGTCTTCGCTTCTCTCGATGAAAGCGAAAGTGAGGATGGGGACATGGGATGTCCGCACCATGTATGAACCTACCAAGGCTGCCCAGATTGCAAAAGAGATGAGGAGGTATGGCATAGAAGTGCCAGGAATCTGCGACGAATCAGCAGATGGAATGGATCATGACAGCAAGATTCAACTCAAAAGGAAGGAAAGTTATAATCATGCAATGCTATTCTACGCACATTCATCGTTCCAGTCAGCGTATGCCCCTCTTCTCGCTCCTCACGCTTTGCTGCACGATCCAGTCGACCACAGTCAGGAAGATCATCGGTGACAGTATGCGGCAGCCTTGTCTTACCTCTGTCTTCACTTCAAAGGCGTCACTGAGCTTTCCATTGTGAATCACTTGGCATCTGGGGTCTTCATATGGCTGTTGAATGAGATTGATAAAGACTAGTGGCACTCCGTAGTGTTAAAGCAGTTTCCAACTTACTTCTCGGTCGACGCTGTCGAAGGCCTTTTCAAAACCGATGAAGTTGAGGTAGAGAGTTAACTGCCATTGCATGCTCTGTTCTATGATGATGCGTAGCGTAGCGTTGCAATTTGATCCACACATGATTTGTTCTTCCCGAATCCAACCAGCCTGTTCCCGTCGTAATTTTTAATCTAGAGCATTTTCCTCTTAGTCTCTCCAGGATGATGTGGCTTAGTATTTTGCTTGGGGTGGACAGGAGCACGGTTCCGCGCCAGTTCTTGCAAACACTTATACCTCCCTTCTTTGGAAGTTTGACAAGATAGCCTTTCTTCCAATCGACAGGCAGGTACCTTTCTTGCCTTCCTTGCAAACCTTGTGCAACAGTGGTGTGAGCATATCTGCTGTTGTCTCTGCATCTGTTCTCAGTGCCTCTGGCGGAATTCCATCTGGTCCTGCTGCTTTCCCACATTTCAGCAGTTTTATGACACTTAGGACTTCTGCTTTTGTTGGAGGGCATGTGTTCACTGGTAGTTCTGCTGTTACTGGCTGTATTTTTGGACGAGTTGCAGGTGGTGGTGGTGGTCGATTCGAGAGCTTTTTGAAGTGACCAACCCACTGTTCCCTTTGTTTCTCCTCTTCGGTAACTAGCTTTCCTTCACTATCTTTCATTGGTTTCATCTGTGTTGATCCCTCCACTCCCAGGTAGTAACCTGGTTATTCGATATAATGCTGTTAGGTCTCTGTCTCTCCTACTTGCAGCCTGTTCTGCTTCACTTGTCAGTGTGTCGTAGAAATATCTTTTGTCTTTCCGCGCACTCTTCTTCACTTCTTTGTCCAGTGTAGTGTTTTATACATTGTACTCAGTTCCTCTCCTCGTCGTTCATCCTTGCACTGGTTTATCTTCTGCTTCACCATCCCCCTCACCATGCTCTATCAGCTCCCATGTGTCCGTCGAGATTCATTCCTTATCTTCTTTCTTCCTAATACAGTTATGCAGGTTTCTTTCCACATAGCTTTCAAAGAGTTCCAGTGTTCTTCCACGCAGGTTGCTTCAGGGATGTTGCTCTATATCTCCCATTTTGTCTTGATGGCTGACGTGAAGATATCCTTTTTAGTCTCGTCATTCAGTCCAATTTCTCTTCTGGGTGTTCAACTTGAACTGTGGTCTATCACCAACTTCTTCGTCGAAGGCTTTCAACTTGATTTTGAGGGTGGGTTCCTCCTTGCACTAGACAGTGATTGGTGTGAACCTACACCTACTCCCCTTCTTGATCTCATCTTGTGTCCAATAGGCTGCGTCCACCCTTTCTTCACATTAAGATCTGATTTTTAGTGTGTCCATCTGGTGAAATCAAATCCATGTCGCTGCCTTGTGAATATCCTTGTGCTTGTACACACTGCCTGACTCTAATCATCAAATCGTTGAATGCACAGAATTCTACAAACAGTTCTCCATTCTCACTCATCATTTCACCAAGTGCTTCTCGACCCATGGTTTGTTCTCTTCCTGTGTTGTCCTCTCTCAGTTTCCCATTCATGTCACCCCACCCACTAGAATTCTGATGTCGCCATCTGAGGTGGGGTCTTGTCCAGTACTGGTTGCAGTTGTCTGTAGAATTCCTCCTTCTTCTCTTCATCTGCATTCTATTATTTGTAGGTGCCTAGCATAGCATTGCATGATTATAACTTTCCTTCCTTTTGAGTTGAATCTTGCTGTCATGATCCTGATCCTGTAGGAGGAGATTGGCTTCCACTGCATGAGAGAGAGCCTTCAATGCTGTTGGGAGGGGGACATCATGACAGCCACTGCATAACTCAGTGTGCTCGTGGTTGTCGTCTGGGTGACAATTTCGGAGTGGATTATTGACTCTCCAGTTGACAGTTGAGAGAGTCCACTTCCATTCCATCTGCTGATTCGTCGCAGATTCCTGGCACTTCTATGCCATACCTCCTCATCTCTTTTGCAATCTGGGCAGCCTTGGTAGGTTCATACATGGTGCGGACATCCCATGTCCCCATCCTCACTTTCGCTTTCATCGAGAGAAGCGAAGACACATCAGCCAACTGGTTTCCCGAAGGCAGGCTTACACCAACCGGCATCATTTCATCTCTCCGATTCCACCGAGGAATAATATTGTTTTTGTGTTTTATATTTTCTTTGTGATTTGAGGTTTCTGTAGCGGTTAGATTGGTTTTACGGGGTAGGGTTGTTAGGTCTATGCCCAACCTTCCCTTTTTATCCGGGCTTAGGACCGGCTAGTAATTAGTCAATTAGTTATCTTGGCGAGGGTGAGAGTTTTACATAATCAGCCTGAACGGATTACAGTAACTAATGTTCGAAGGTGGATGGACCGGAGAAATGTAGGTCGTGGAAATAAGAGAATGTGTTGGAGCCAGGAAAATTGAAAGTAGGATGTAAATGACTTTAAATCATGTGAAGGTTGACTGGCAGTTTTCTCAGTTCAACCTCAAGTTTCAGATATGAAAGTAAAGTAACTTCAAGGTTTTTAGCCACATAATTCTGAAGCACTGTTGGCATGTGGAAAACTATCGAGTGAGTAAAATTGAGGTTATAGGTAATTAATCTTGGATGAGAAATTGGAAACGTACGCCGATTGGAGTGAATAACATGTATGACGTATGGCAAGACATCGAAGAGTGACAGTAGGCTGTGAAAAAGACTGGATGGAGAGACAAAAGGGTATGTGCAATATGTAAAGTGTATGAAGTGTATTTTAGCTATACCTGGACTCAAAAGGTGTGAACCACCGCTTGGTGAAAATATATCATATGGCTCATGATTCATTGTAACTTTTGTTACATATGCGATTTCCAGCGAGTCAACAGAAAATGATGTAGGTTTCACAAGTTATGATTTGTATTTAGTCGCTTATTTTTAGGTTTTGTAAATATCCATTGAATTTAAGAAAACACTGCAAATTCTGGATTTAAATATTTTCGCTGAGATAGCCACTGGGTAAACAATAGTTTCGGGATTGAATTTGACTATATTAACAAGTTCGACAACAATCTAGAGATAAAAGATGTGGCAATGTCGCAGACGCCTCCACTCAACATTTTCCTATGAATCTGAAACACCCTACATCTGTATCGATCGACGTTTATATTCTTGCTCATGCTGCTATCTTTTTGGCTCATTTGATATTCAAAATAGAGGAGAATAGTTGTAGCTCAAGTGGATGGTCTTGGTTGTATTGTGTTCTCTGAGCTGGGTTGTTTAATCGTGAAGCTTTCATCGCCCTTCTAGATGACATCATCAGCACTTCATTTGATATTCTATTGCTACACGGGCTTTAACGTTATTTTCTATGAAATATCTCATTTAGAGAATTTCATTAGTCGAATAAATAACCGAATAGATTCTCAAAAAAGTCGACAAAAAACAATAACAATGCATCAGATATACTAAAATGAAAATTACCTGCTCGATGTTGCATGACGTGAAAGCCAAAGTGGTAAGGCGTGAAACCGAATCAGAGCATGTACAATCCGACTATGCTTCGTAGCGTTGATAAGTAATCGTAATACTAATAACTATAGGGACAAAAAAGCAATGATCTTAATGATAACAAAATTTTTAACACTTCGAGGTAGCCGTAGTTTGGTAGATTTGTGTTGAAGGTGAAATAAAAACCTGGTCAGCAGCCGCATCTCGTAGTTCAGTTGGTAGAGCGATAGGCCGGTAATCGGAAGACCACTGGTTTGAGTCCTTCCTCGGCACAGATTTTTATTTCACCTTCAATCATCACCCAGTTTCAACAAAGTTATTATTTGAAGATATCCTGACCAACAGTGGACTGGATGGTTTGAAAAAACTTGGGCACCGAGTTAGCATGATTCATTGTATAGGGTGTATTTTTACGTGTGTAATCCCGACGTAGTGTATTATTCCTCCAAAATTCCTACAAAATATTTGTTTATTTTGTTATTTGTTCTAACATACTACACCGGGATTATACAAATAAAAATACACCTTATTCAATGAAAATTATTACTAGTTCTGATTCAATATTCAAAGCGAAAAAATGTCCTACTACTACTAATTAACCAACAAAAATTAAATATAATTAACTTAGGATATATAGTGTTATTATTGATCTGTTAAGGCATGGCACAATTACCATCTGATGAGAGAAAGAATTTTATTTAATTTATTGTTTACAACACAGTAGTCTCTTAATCTAAAATTAGATAAAAGCACACCCAACTAATGCTAGTAAGTTTTATCTACAATATACGATACTGCACATTTTTAATTTATCAGGAAAAGGTGTGTATGAATTGAATGCAAGATTACGGAGTGTAATGATGCTTCAGTCATCAGTGATAACAAATTTCCGTCGATGTTATCACTGATCCAAGTAATATGATACTGCGTTATATGGCCTTCTAGTGATTACACAGTTCTGATCACGGATGTCTTCGTAGCATTGCTCGCGTTTGGTGGAATCACCACATGAACAATGTTGATGTCAGGTGAAGGACACTGGGGAAGAAAGGCAAGTCGATTGATGAGGTTGTGAATCTGCATCGACTGACGTGGCTCAGATATGTGCTGTGCATGCCTAGCCCCCACCTAGCTCGATGTGTCATGCTAGGTGGCCAGAGCAACTTGTGGTACTAGTCGATGCAGTCTTCGACTATTGGTCTGAGTCGTGTGGGGAGATGTAGACTGCCTGCTTCAGGTCCTCAAGACGAAAAGAATCACTGGTTGAGGACTCTTCGTGACATGCCTGAAAATAGGTCACAATGTCGCAGATGTAACCACTCCTTGACATCTTCGAAAGCTTGAATATACTCACTAACCTTTATCTTCAGATTGCTTATTTTCTCATACCACTTTATCTTCTTTCATATCACTCTTTTTCTATCCACCTGTTTTTTGTGTACTATTGTGAAGTGTGACAACTTGAGCCGATCCACTGGTGGGCGAGGTTCGACGTTGATTTTGTCAGTCAGTGAGACCTTCTAGCACCAGAGTAGCTCGGTTACATGTTTGTTGATAAATTCGTCAATGAAGTGCATGTATACCCTAATGAAAAATGGTCGTGCTTCAGACGTTACCACTAAGCAGCTGTGTGAACGTGTATCAACCAACCTGGATCATTTTCCTATTATTGTTTTTGGAATGACGTTTGCAGTGGATAAATTTGGAATACATATTTCAGAAACTTGCTTCCACCCTTTTTCAGTTACCTCAATATTACTTGGTCGTTTTACACTTGAAACTACAAGTACGTTCAGTTCAATCAGTCGGTAGTGCTAACACTTCGAATTAAGAATAGCATTATCCTGAAAGAAAATCTGGATGGTTACTAAAGGGATATACAAGTTGTAGGCAAAACGACAATATAGCTGGTTGCTACTACTCAGGTATATGAAGACATCTGTTGAACTAGGTAATCTTGATGACCCAAAGTAGAAACCTGCAGTGATTCTGCAAACACTAACCTTAAGTTCATCTCACATCTTCGTAACAGATTAAAATATGAATGATGAAACTTCATTATGAATTATTGAGGATAACCTTTGTGTAAAGAGATCTGACTGGATGTAAAGTATCCGTTGACATTATAAACGGATGAAGACGAGAGTCGACATGCTGATTACTCTCACTTTTGATGTTGAAGAAAGTACGCAAAGAATATAGGTCCTCAAGCAGCTAAAGAAAGACACTGTAGTACTCTATGAAGCTACGTTTTCATGTGATGTATATAAGATAATTGAGTGGAGACCTTAAACAAAAGTTTCAAAAAATTTCACTCATGAAACACTGGAAAAACTAAAGAAGATGTAATAATGTATCAGACAAGTAACTTTGCATTTCACTCAAAATCCTACTTATCGCCACTAAATCGTTCAAAACAAGTACACAAATATACGCATACGACATTATAGACTTGCTACTGTGCGATTTAAGCAAAAACAATTGCCGAGAGATTTGAAATATTTACAAGTTGTCTGACAATAACGAAAATTGTTCCACACACCTTGAAATTAGCATCTACTGAAGGAAGAGAATAAGCAGACAAAACATGCTTAAACACTAACGAACTTTCCATGACTAAATAGTCTGCTGGATCGCCTAAACCATCAACACATACTCGACAAATCCATTGACGTTCATAACTGAACTACAACGAAAAAACAAGGAAAAAGGAAGTAAGCTAACATCACATTCATTTGTTAGGGGATAAACAAAAAGTTTTTAAAAAATGACAACAAAGTCATTAAAATTAGTGATAGACACTGTAAAAGCAAGTCAGGAATAGAACTGAAAATATATTCCCGAAAGACTTATAAGCATATCCAACATTTAAGATCAATTATTGTTACATTCCAGTAATCTCTGACTCCTTTTATATTCATCGACTCAGACATTATTTCAAAAACTAGCCTACTTAGCAAAAGGATGTAATACTTTATTGGGAAAATACCTCGCTTAGACTACTCCGTTGTATGGTTAAGTAATAACTGCATATTTTAAAAATGCTGAACTAAGTTAACTCAAGAGAGAAATAATTTTTAAAAGATGCATGTATCTGTGCTCATTAAGGTGATGACAAGCGAACAAATATGGTGTGCGCACTTCGAATATTCTGTACACTTAGGTACAGATATGCTTTACATTTTGAGTATTATTATGACTGAAAATGCTATCAGAATAATGACCGAATTATTACATGACAAGAATGAAGTCCGTAAGTGTCGTGAAAATATTGATAAGTGAATAACTGTGGGTTTCCTGACTGTGGTCCTCCAAGTGTTGTGAGTCGATCATCGGAAATACCCGGCGAAATAGCTTAGAATGGATCAGTGGTGTAGATGACTACATTCTCCATTATCTTCTTTACTCTATATAATTTTTCTGACTGTAATTCATTTACTGTTTCCCCTCCTATATACTTATATTTCCACATACTTTCAAATAATGTGCTGTTGTGAAGGAGTGTCAGCTCAACCTGATTTACTGCTATACCATATTCTATGTTGATCTGTCAGTTTTTCTTATGCATTATTCATGTAAACGTTACTGCCATTCCCGATAAGAAAACAAAATTACAAAGTGCTACTGGTGTTCCTTTAACTAAACTAATGCGAAGATGAAACTAATGAAGCAAGCTTCTTTCGACGAAAAACTACAGGGTGAGTTTAGATTCAAAAAATAAGTCTTCACCCTAAAATCATGTTCACAGTTTGAGCGTGTTTTATGAGACAAGATTCTAGATTCATAAATGGACCTCAGCGAATCAACAATAACCGTAACAATTAAACTGAACTCCTGTATAAAAATGAAATCTGGGTCAGTGTGAAGCTTGATGCCTTTGAATACTCACTTTTATCTTTTAACTTATTCGTACTTTTAGTTGAATCACTTTTTATTCACTCAAAATATGCATCCCACATTCAGTAAATATTCACTCAATTTAACCTGAGGAACACGATTCTATTCTCAGCGTTTATACAACAGGTATGAATTAATGTGTGTAACACAAATCTATGTGTTTACTAAACAGGAGAGTAGCGATATTCTATTCAATTACAAATTGTGATGTTCAGACTCATTCCCATACTCAAAAAGAAACACTTTCCGCAACACAATAACTTCGAAACAGTATCGCTTATTGGATAATATGTTTCTTTTTATTTTTCAAACAGAGCAATTCACCTAGCTGATTAAATGTTTATTGGAAATGGTACTTAAAACCGACTACATAATAAACAAACGCTGCCAAATGGAAACATTTCAGTGAAATGAAACCGGATGATCAGTCTGTAAAATTAAGGGTAAATTTTCTTTGTAAGCCATTGTCTTACCTTATTACTTGTCGAAAAGAATAGTCTCAGAAATTCAGGCACATATCTCAAATCTATTGCAGGTTTAGCAAGTAGACAATTCCAAATAGGCTGAAATATATAGTTTTCTAAAGGAAGAGAAATGTAAGAAAAAACAGTAGGAAAAGTATATTCCACATTACTGTCTGACAAGCAATCGAATTTTTAGGAAAATAAACTGAAAATATTCTGCAAAGTTACAGCAAAACCTTATTGTCACTTCGATTATGAAATGTGTCTGAGGTAACTTAAATAGTAGAGTGGTTAAATAAATTTCGCACTTAAAATGAAACTACTGAAAGTAGTGTGAATAATTTTAAAACATATATTGACCAAAATGAACTGTTTGACAAATAAATTAGGTTTCCTCTTTGGTAATTTGGTTGAAAACACTGTGAATGATCGGAAACATCAGTAAAAAAACTACCTTTCACCAATTATGTACCTAAGATATTTTAATATTATACAACCAAAACTTTAAATCCATAATATACAAGAGGTAGGCATGACTTTTGATTCTAACTATTCCTGTAGCCCACAAGATAAGGACACTAAACCACTGAAAATGGATTACTGTTTTCCACAATAATATGACAGCCCAAAAAATGAGTTATTTAAACTAATTAACACTTATAAAGCATAAATATATATCCTCAGCTAACTAACAGGAGAAAAATTCATGTCCCATTGTAGCTCACTTTGTTTTACAGACGGGATAATGTGATATTTAGATGGATAATACCATAAACTCAGAATTACTTTCCAATAGTGAGCAAATAATTTCCAATAAGGTGATTTATTTACATTCAGTGCGTTCTTGTACGGCCACATGTCCAATTGTTTTCCTGAACCGGTAGAAAGCCCGTTTACTTGGCTTATTCAGCCGAGACACACAGTTAGGAACTAACCTTCAGCAAGAGCCTACAAGATCCCCCCTTCTGACAGTTCAGGGTAGCTGCCACCTTATTTGTTAAAAAGTATGCATCTCTAAGGGGAATTATATTTCTGAGGAAGTAGAGGTAATCGAACCCCATTCGGCAATTTTCGACGCCAATTGTAGTGTCGTACTTTCTAATTACATCAGATGTCGGGCGCACGTGTTTCAGGTGAGGTCCGCCGTCAAGGCAACGAGCCTCCCTCCCCATGGCCGTCACATGCAACAAACTTCTGCTCCCTCTTTCTGTGATAATAACTAACTTGTGCCGGTTTGGCAACCTCCTCAACTAGAAAAGTCCTTGTCGAAACCGCAGTACAGTTTCTTGAACTCAAGCCATTTTATGATATCAGCGACGTTCCAGGTCTGACAAGTATGTGGCTTTTTCAAATTCCCGTGAGAAGGATTGTAGTGAAACTGGACTTGGTCAAATGCGAATGTGGAATTTAAAGTTGTCAATGATTTCTAGGGGAACCGAGAAGTTACGTAGTTTGGGAAATTTGCCGTCGTAGAAGGCCGTCTTTGAGAAGTTCCGATAATGTCATCGGCTTGGGCTGCGGCGTGAACGATAGCTAGTGGCTGAAGCGCAGCGAAAACTGCTTGCACTGGGTGGAGCGGCTGCTATAAAATATGAAATGTCTCGAGAAAAACCTTAACGGCAAATTTCTCCAGGCATCTGACGCTATAGCTGGCCACCGAACTGTTCTGTAACTCAATATTACGAGGCGTCCACCTAGACCCCATGATCCTTTGGAGTCACTCCTCTCTAGAACAACAGGTTCAAGCAGTTTGCATGAGTCACTGAGATCACAACTGACCGCGTGTTTGATGATTTATGTGCCCAGTACACTCGGTAGAGTTCTCATGGCAAACGGGAACTGAAATTAAGGTCCTGGAGCCCTCGTCACGGAAAACTGATGCAAAAAACTTTTTTTATTTGCTGGGTGGAGTGCCTTAACGTTGGCCTAGTGTCCCGCCTGTCTGTAGTTCTTAATTTCGAGGATCTCACCATGCCTGGTTAGACACTAGAGGGCTCAAACTCACTAGTGGGCAATGCTTGATCCATTTGAGAAGAATGATGGAGAATAAAAAATTATAACCTGATTGGAAGTCATGCATACTAGTTTTACGGGTACTGATGGTTAACACCGCCAAGTTGCGCTGACTTCGACTCGTATGTGCGCGACAAAGGAAAAACACGAGTTTGCACCCTGGCAGAGATCATGCATTCGTTCGGCGTCCGAGGAAGTCCGAGAGTTTTCGGCCAATGGGTTGAAGGATCACGAATGGAGAAACTAGTGTAACACAACGAAATGGCGTGGATGGAGGACTATATACGCTTAGCGAAAACACTCAGTTAAGAGTATGAGGGTTACAACCACTGTCAAACGTCGTATAAATAGAGCAGATTTGAGCGAGGCTCCTATTTCGGTAACCGGAAATATTTGATAGTTGCTGAAGTCTTCAAAAATGGAGAGACATCTACACTTCCGAAAACTTAAAGCAACTTTTTAAAGGGTGGCAAGTTGATTTCCACCATACTTGTACGTCATGTGAAACTGCGCAAAACAAATAAATTTGCACCTAACTACAAAATGACGAGAAAACCTACTGCCCATAGTGTGACCTGTTGAATGAAGGGATCTCGTTGTAAAGGAGGAGAGGCACCCAGCGAAATCAACGTTTACAACTGTCCATTTGGAGCCTTCAACTTTCCACTCAAAGACTTTGCGACGGTTTTGCTGCGGGAGGTACAGCTGCTTACTTGGTCCTCACAATTACTGTGTAATAGGTCCAGCTGGGTCGACCAACTGCTATAGCCCAGGCCACTGAACCTGCAGCAAAGTTAATCTCACTCGCTTCTACGCCCGGGACAAGTCGGTAGTTTTTGGAATCCAACACAGTCGTAGCAACGGACAACCAAAGGCGGGGTCGATAATTTGCTTTCTACTTGCTTCACATATCTGTTACTCTAATCCCTTTGTTGACTCTGTTATCATTTTCAGCCATTTATTAACGTTCCGCCCTCGAAAGGACCGGCCTCTGAAATCCCTTAAGTACAACTTTGTCACGGCCACTGACCGCCTCATTCTTAGTAGTAACCAGGGCCGGAGCTTAGAAGTGTTGAACCGTGACAAAGAAAGCTTTACTGGATACCAACCCACCGCCTAAGTCAAACCCAAGCGGACGGTCGCGACTTCCAACACCCTGAGTCGGCCGAAACCCCGATCCTCACGTCACTGTCCTCAGAAAAGGAGACATGGAACCCCTGCTACACGTAGCACCCATCCCAGACCACCTGTGAAACCGCCAAGTGGAAACGTCGGAGAGTTAGATGGAGGCATTTGATAATGAAGCCTTCGAGTGCAACAGCTGCAACAGGCGGGCGCACTGCCGATGGGACAAAAAAGTATCAAATCAGTACCACGTTTTCACGAAGCGATTTCCATGCACGTGGTTTTGGCACGCCTGCTCACGGTGCCGTCCGGGAACACACTTGGCTTCGGGCTCACTTAGAGTGGCTGATAAACTGCCAGCAACTGCCCAAAAACAGGCACCCATCCGGGCGACTATAAGGAAAGAAGATTAACCTTTTAGACTGTCAAACGTTACAGAACTAAATGGTCCGAAACCAAACGAAAAACTGTCCACGGCATGTGGAACCAAATCCGCCCCAAGCCATGAAGCTGTGCCAGCAACAGCCACCAGCGAATAAGATGATGAATGCTTTACGGTGGAGAAGTAAGCTCGAATCACCCCTGAAAACGCACTCACGGTACCAAATATCATAGACCTTGCTGTCCGATCAAACTGTCATTCCACTCAACTTTCCGGTATGCAACGACAGACTTCTAGAGTGCAAGAACACGCTTGACTGGCAGCAACATGACTCCCTTTGCGTTATACCGGGCATAGATGCCTACACAGCAAAGCCATGTTGACTGAACTAGGCCTCCGCCGACTGACCCCGGGCTCGACCGGGGACACTGAAAAATTCCCCTTACTTTCGCTCAAGCTGGTTATCAACAGATCATCCAGCATTCGAGCTAGACCTGATCGATCATGAGTGGCGAGAAAGACACCTAGAGAAGTACATTATCCGCGAAGACCTACACATATGTTCATCCATGGAATAGCTGGACTGGTACCCCACGTGATAACTACACTCACGACATCCAACCGTGAGAGTGGTTATCAGCACGGGTTGGACGGAGTAGGGTTGCAGAAGTGGTGACCGGCAGGCTGCACACTCCCCACACGGTCTCACCTACAATAGTGGCGGTCAACTTCAAGTCTCCAGAAGTTCTAACTACACCGCTGGGGAGGTGGTATAAGTTCAAGAGCATCATACCAGGGAATGTTCGCCGCTGCAAAAGCGAACCCGGAGCGCTGCGAAACAGAAAACACCGGTTACTCCCTGTGCTCAGATGGCAACCACCCTACACTGAGAGCTACGCCGACAACGTTCACCCAATACCAACCCACCGGTGAGCCCTCGAGAAAAACATAACTCAGCCAGTTCAGTCGGGGCCGGCGGGTCAGTAAAGACCTCCACCACATCCCAACCCTTTCCGTTAGTTAACCCAGAGACATCTCACGTCATGAAATACACTTCCAAGTGTCTTCACAACAACGTAAGGGGAATACGAAGTAAAGTGCTAGGGCTCCGATACCTCTATTCCCACCTTGTTCTGAGGATTATAATCCCGACAAAAACGTGGTTATCGCTGGACATTGGTGACATGGAAACGGGCGAAGACGACGCGTTTTTGTTCAGGAGAGACAGGGAACACAAGGACGTAGGGGGCTTGCAATGTGCGTCGGCAGGTGGTTCAAAAATTGGCAAACTACTTACACTGTGTTGACAAAGCTCCCAGACTCAATTTGACGCCACTTCATGGTCAAACACACTGTATTTGGCTGGAGCAGTCTATAGGCCCTCTAATAGCAACGCAAAACGACCAAAAGTGACTCCAGGTAATGTGAACGTTCTTGACTACGGGGTGTGACCAGATGCTGATAGTTGGTGCCTTCAGCGCCTCATCCCTCATCATGGAGTAGTGAAATACGGCTGTTGGCCGGAAGTCTTATCATAACCTGCCAAACGCTACCCGAATGACTGGGCAGTAGGAAAGGACTAGCGATGACACCCGTTGGGGGTCAGACGGCAAACAATCTAAACTTGACCATCTGGTGGCTGGAAACCATCTATTAGTTGAAAGCGTCCCGGTTAAAATTTCTCTCAGAAGCAGGGATCACGCTCTGTTGGTGTTCAATCTGGTGAGTAGCGAACTGGGATCCCCTCTTGCCCCTGTCACAAAAAGGTAAGCCACAAGGGAATGGATCCATGTCTGTCAATGGCGTTATGGGGCCCCTTATCAGTTGACCAGCACTGTTAACTTACAAGAGGCATCATTTGGGTAGCGATTTATGTAAACGTCTCCTTACTGGTAACAGCATCCAGAAGGGAGACCCTGTTGCTAAAACGAGGCACTGAGCAACTCCCGAAAGTCAATAGGGAAGCATGACAAATAAAGACTTTCATGAGGAGATGAACGCGGCACGCATACGGCTTTACGATATCAGTGCAACAGGAGGTCGTTTCAGTTCAACCTCGTAGAGAAGCTTCGGGCAAATCCCAGAAATCTATGCCGATTAATGGTGAAGAGCAACTCCACAGGCCAAGGAGTGCGCGCCATCAGAGACCCGGAAGGAGAAAACCTCTGTAGACAGGAGATCAGTGAAATGTCAGATACCATTTTTGACACAGCCTGGCATCTCACCGCGCAAGCGGGCCTACCCGCAGCCTGAAGAGCCCCCGACGTTGCCCAGCGCAACAGAGTTACATGAAGTGCAGGTAACTTGTACAGTTATTCTTGACAAACTATCAAAGCTGAGTGCGGAGGAATCCCCGGGGTGCGAGTACCCTGATTGGTCCACTCCGCAGCATTCCTCAGATGAACGAAGGCTCCCATGAGAGTGGAAATGAGCCATCCCTTCTCCTAACATTAAAGTAGGAGAGAAGCAGAGCCTGAACTATAACCGACCGGTAGCACTTTTACCAGCAACGTCAAACGTTATGGAAAACGTGGTGGCTGACAACATCAGAGAATACGTGGGGATGAAGCAAGCACGCAGTGACGCTCAAAACGGCTTCCAAAAGAGTAGATCCTGCCCCTCCGACCTCCCGGGGGCCCATGACTACTGGACAGCATGCCGGGAACACAATGTCCCGGTTCACGCGATGTTTCTGGATTTCGCTACGGCCTTTGACACAGTCTCTCACAACATCCCAGTACACAAAATAGCAATGTTGGGCATTCACCACCAGGTGTTAACGTGGCTTCAGATCTACGCATACAGTGAGAAGCTGTACTCGAAAGTGAGACGTTCTGCTCAACCGGAAGAACACCAACGCCTGGTGTGTCACAAAGAACCATCTCAGGTTTGTTGTTGTTCCTGCCGTTGGGGAATGACTTTCTTCTGCATAGTAGTCCTCTGATCCTCCTCTACGCTGATTGTGTCGAGTAATGGAGAGCAGTGACGCGGGAAACGGAATCGAATGCACCACGGAACAACATCGAAACACCCAGGAGTGGGCCAAAAATAACGAACTGACATTTAACCTGAATAAATGCTGGTTCATGTTTTCCGCACTGCCGACCCACAGAAAACATATCACCCCCTCTGTGGCTCACACCTTTCTCATGCCGCACAAGGCGAAAGACATGTTTTTAAGCGTAATGGAGTGCAACAGCCAAAATTCAATTATCTTGGCCTGAACGCGGGAAATAACTAGGCGGTACCAACTAACGTAAATCTGACTAGTTCCTGCGTTCTACGGTACAGCTTCCGACCTTCCACAAGTGACCCACAGTCAGAGGCTGGATCAAAATATCAAAACACAGTTTATAGTAACTCAGTGGTAGATCCGTAGCAAAATCTGTGGCACTATCAAAGCGACAATAAGTTATATCAAAATTACAAAAATGCCTCAACAGTGCCGTTGGATAACTACACAGTCCAAACGTTCGCGGGCGCAAATACGTACTATACGGCAAAAACTGGTTAAACAACTATACTTGTCAAATGCCTGAGAGTCAACAAGAATGTTCCCGACAAAAGGGATCAGAACTCTGTCTACCAGAATCAAACCAACAAATAAACGTTTCCAGTAGACAGCCAAAAGACAAACAGTCAGATCACAGTACAACCGTAAGTTGAACCAAAGCAAAATGTCGGGCGCAGTAAAACAACGTCACGTCAACAGCCCGGCGTCACATAGTAGGAAAATGAAGTCTCAGTCATACAAAGGCCAATACTGAGCGCAAAGCCAAAGAAGGCAGTCAAACAACCAAAGAACATTACACCGGCTGGAGTCAAAGGTACACCATCCAAAACGAGGTTAAAAATACTCAAATAAACGTCAATACTATCAAATAGGGTGATCAGGAGTGATTTTCGTATCATTTTCGTGTTACACGGAGAAAGTGGGCCACAGTTCCAGCTGCATAGGAAGTCCCTCGCAAGCATACCTTTTACTACACTCTGTGCGTATGCAGCCAGGTGGTCTCACCCAAGAACCCTTTTTGGAGCTTTAAAAGACTTTAGGGTCTCACTTGCAGATCCATAACGTCTTCTGTCTGCCACACCCGTAGAGGCACGAACCCCCCAGACAAAGTCTAGAGAAAAGCCATAAAGGGTGTCGTAACAGTGCACCAAAAATCATACGAAGGTGGTCTAGAAGGCCTAAGACTATACTCTCTTGGTTACCAGGGTTTCAAGGTGGGGGTGATGGTGGCTCACAAAATGCTTAGTAAACCAGGTCACCCAGTACCGTTACCTCTACACCAATTCAATTTCCAGGCCGGCCACTTAAGTTCTTTTTATCCCTGTTACTCGCTATGAATTCGCCTTACTCGCCTAAGTTCGCCATATCTTTGCACCCTTCTCTTTTTACTTGGGTGAACTTAGATTACTCCATCATCTCACTTTTCTTTGTTCTCCTGGGTTATCTCTCTGCTACCCTTAGCTCTCTCTTGTGACCAGTCCAAATAAATTTCTAGAAACTCGACGTCTGAAGAACTCAGCTGCACCACAGTCCCTGGCAAACTAACCAACATCCAACTGCCTGTCGAGTATACCGGAGATATAGGAGATAAGTGGCTGAACCTTCTGCATCGAAATCCGCCAAAGACCTAAAACCGTTACTCAAAACCTAGAAGCGAGCACGAAAAAATCAACTGGTTTACACAAGCTCGTGAAACAGCTATTGGATACTAAGAACAAAAAATTGCTGTCCTTGAAAAGAACAATCGGGAGTAACCGCGTTATTTAATGACTTGCCGCCGAGTGTGGTTCTCGTCATCATGCAGGTTGTTTTTGTTGGTAGGGTTACTGTTACTTCTGGCGAGAAAATCATAACCATTATGTCTGGCAGACGTTAACCGTTCGCTGCTGAAAAAACTGGAAAAGGGTTTAAAGATGAGATTTAATAAGTTATAGCCATAGGATGGATCTGTTAATGTTTTATCGTTAGCGATAAGGTAACAGAAAGGCCCAAGCAGTATGTTTTCTGTTACCATTACGGATGAAACTTCGATAGCCTTTTGATTGTATTTTAAGGTCTGTTACCAAGTCATTCGCTTCAGGTTTCCGGGATTACCCTAGGGTTACTTCAGGGGTAACTTCCTTTTGACTTTTGTGAAAAATTTTAACGAATGGTTCTCAAAACCATCCAGAAAAGTATTTAATTAACCACCTCAGTAGTGGCTGTGCATCCAGATAGCGTCTAAGTGTATGAGTAGTAACTGGAACACCAATAAGATCCCAACTAGAAAGTATGTGTAAGCCTTATGTCCGTTGTATGTGGATAAGAATTTGTAAATGACATCCAAACAAGACCCTCAGAGTAGTCACTAAGAAAAGTGGTGGGTTGCTAGGATGAGTCTAATAGCTTGTTTATCAAACGTCGCAAACTTCTAAGCAATCTCTGGTCCAAATATTCTGAAAAAATACGCATCATATAAGCTGAGTGTCTTCAAAGTTTGGTCATTGGCGCAGAATAAGCAACAAACATTTGATTAGGATCATGGAAGACCTCACTGTTGATGCTTTCTGCACCTTGAAGATCCCACATGCAATGTCCTAATGAGTCGCTTTGAAAAACCCTCATTTTTTTGTTTAAGAAGTTCTTTAATGTTACACTTATCCCAGAATTTTGTAGCATCGGCGGCTGACCTTATCCGTGTCGATTTTGCGCTGGGTGCTAGTCAACTGAATCCCCGTCAAGAGTCGTCTATGCTGTTGGACTGGAAGGTTTGATTAAAGTGAGAAGTAACTGGCAAGGGAAGCGATACATCTTCGTCGTAAATACTGAATTTTGAGATAATGTTTTACCTATCTTAATCTCTCTTTCTTGAACAATCATTATCAGTTGACCACATTACTTATTCATTATTCTTAGTCACTGGTATATACACTATTGATTACTTAGCGGCCTATTTCAGCCTTCAAATTTTCGTCATATTTATAACCTATCTTAATTACCATCCTTATTTCTGTGATTAAATATAACCTTTTTTTCCTGAAACCAATAACTTCTTACCCAGTAACTTACCACTACTAGATTGGTATGTAGTGTTGTATTTTTTAAGTGCTAAGTTAGGTGTAGAGCTAATGATCAGCTAGCCTGAGAAATTTTCACTTGATATTCCATTTTCCACTCATTGCCGTTCGGTATTATTTTTACGTTGCACTTGTCGTCTATTATTTGTTAATAGCCCAGTTTTGTGTTACGTCTTGTGACCTTGCTTTTTTACTTTTGTTTACCATAATTACCTTTTTTTCACAGATGACAGTTTGACGTTATTTTCTTTCTCTTCAGGAGTATGATTCACAGTGGTGGCGAAAGTAATGAAGTAAGTCCCTAATAAATCAGTTTCTCTGAGTTTTATTTATAGTTATTATGAGGTAAATTCTCGTCTGAAAAAGTTTAAAAATCAATTTTAATCAAGGTTTTACAAAATAAGGGGGAGAAATGGTTCATCGATAAGGTGGAAAATTTAGTACAATTCGCTTTGGCAGGAGGATTCAGGTGTTTGGCTGTCGTTTACTTTCATTATTGACGGCGTGTCGTGGACCCACCGTATTAGCAATGAAGAGGTGTATATTCCTGAGTAAAAGGTGTAGATCAGTTGATGAAGCTGAATATTATCATCAGCTGAAGCGTCTAGGGCATGTTTTACGCATGGTCACCATCTTCTCTAACACGCAATATTAGCTGTAATGGGGTTAAGCTGAAAATAGCTATTGGTCACTAGATCGACACATGCCATCACTCTGGAGTTTTGACCATTTGTCTGGACCATGTGGGGAAACATAGCATGACAACAGAAATCGATGATTTGAAACCCTGTTATATAGTTCACAATTGGTCACAGTAGCGCAGATACATTCACGTCTTACCTTCATCCTTACTATTATGTCAAATTTGACTTTAATAGCTCTTTTTATGATGCTCTGTGACTCCTGGTTGCATTATTTGTATTTCTCTGTTTTCTTGTCGCTCTACATACCTCGACATACTAACGCGATATGCAGCAAGTTGGAGTTTTACACAGTAATTTCAGGTGCTATGTTTTTACTGAATGACTAAATATGATTGAAACGTTAACCTAATAAGAGGATGGTCGTGAGTGAATGAATCTCTGTTGAAGTCAATGTTCTACTCATTGACTCGTACAGTGGTCATTGTTGGGATTCATAGGAAGACCTTGTGATCCGAAGTTCTACTGCTTAATTTGTATCGAATTTCATAAACATCAACATAAAATTTTCCTTCCTTTTTATCTAAGATTAACAGTTATATATTCTCTTGTTAAATGTGATTTTTACTTTCCAAACCGTTTTTGGTCAACTGTGTTTCAATCGTTTTCTCACCATCTTGTCTTTTTCTGTGTTAGCTAAGAATGTTTTCAGAACAAATGGAGGTTATCAGTCGTTAACTGTCAAGCTGGCTTTTGTATTGGTTAAAGACTGACTAACTGTAATTCATATGACAGGTGATAAAAGCGCCATATAACTGATCATTTGTCATTATGATTAAAACTGAGCGACAAGGAAAAAATGCGAATGATATAAGTGGCCTTAAAAACCCTGACACCAAGAGAAAAAGCAGTTTTTGATAAACTGCTCCAGATATAATCGCAAACGAGATGCTAATGTATATGTGCCATTGCGATCGGTTATGAACTGTATTCCTTAATCTCTGCAGCTATCGACTTTGGCTATCTTGCAAACTTCAGTGAGAAAACCTACATTTTTCTGCGTAACCTGAAACAATAGTTACAAGCTTCACGCTTGATGCTGTGTCTTGGTCTGCAATTTGCGTTGCCCATGTAAATTCAGCAATTAAGTGAAACTTAGTTTTAGGTTTATTTTAATCATATTTTCCTACGTATTTTAACTCGAGGTAATGAAATGTTGATCATTGTGCTTGAATTTAGTCCATAGATAACAAAATACTAGATAGTCAACACTTTCCGGGTATTTTGAGATAATAACACTACAAATGGTTCAGTAAGATGTATTCTTGATCCATTTCCTTTTTTAACATCATTTTTGACTAGGATCTTGTCAAAACGTCGGTTCTGCATCGTATTATTATTACTTCTTGGTTCATCATTCCTAACTTTGATCTACTATTCGAACCAGTCGCTTTTAAAATGTCTGTTTACTCACCCTTTTGTGCCAGTGAAGCAGTCCTCGAAAACAACAAATTATCCATTTGTTTATGACTCCAATAATAATGATAAAATTAATATTGCGGATGGTCTTAAATCCTTTCCTGTTGTAATTTACAACAGAATACCAAAAACAGGCAGTACATCTTTAGTAAATTTAGTCTATCAACTGATCGAAGAAAAACGTCTTTATACACACGTGCTACATTTGAACATTTCTACAAACCGACATTATTTGAATCGTAGAAATGAATTGAATCTTGTCAACAATTTGACACATTGGACTAGTATGCATCCCTTAATGATACACGGACACTTTGCTTATATAAATTTCAAAAAGTATGGATCGTCACTCAATCCCATCTACATTAATATGATAAGAAATCCATTGGATCGATTGGTATCTTATTATTATTTTCTACGATATGGAGATGATTATAGGCCGTATTTATTCCGCAAACGTATGTCTGACCCTGTAACTCGCAACCAAACATTTGACGAATGTGTTCGGATGAAGGGTAGTGATTGTAATCCACAACTTCTTTGGGTTCAGGTAAGTTGTCATTTCTGTTTGTACCATAATTTTGTCAAGGTATTTTTATACAAATTTATATATACTGTAAACCAGTCTGTTCTGACACCATACTCATTTCCAGTTATAAATAATACAATCTTGATGACAATTAAACCACAGCTTTTGAGTTACGGTTTTTGTAAATGTGGTCAGACATTGATATCTGCTCATATTTCAATATTTTATAATTTCATTGTTCGAGTCAGAGTTATTATGAACTGTATTTATTTGCAGTAAACCCCATCTAATAGCTGCTATCTTGACTTAGTGGACGGGCTTGCATATCACAATGAACCAACAAGCTATAGCAGTAGAACCCTTCTTTCGAGGTCATACCAAAACATAAAGTTTACTTGGATAGAGATAAAACAGAAAGAAGTTACCGTCGTCGTGTAAATTGTTACAATTCAATAGTGGTCCGAGGGCAAAGTTGTGCTGCTGGTTAGGACGGCTATGTAACAGCAGTAATATGTTTCCCGTAGATGACTTCCCCATGAAAAGATACACCTTAAAAGACGTGAACCCTAAACATAGAACACTCCCTAATACCCAGTGATATACCAGTATTCACAATTTATTATTATTATTATTATTATTATCATTATTATTATTATTATTATTATTATTATTATTATTATTATTAGTCCCTCGGGTTCCTAATGGAACATACGGCTTCAGTAGCACGTCTCCAGTGACCTCTGTTCTCTGAGATCTTTTGAACCTGGCTCCACGACAGCCCAGAAGCTCTCATTTCCTCCTCGCACGATCTCCTCCATGTCACCCTCGCCTCGGACGCCCAACTCGTCGCTTCCCATGGGGATTCCACTCGAGCAACTGGCCTGACGCGTGATGTCCCAAGTCGGCCTTCTCAGTGTATGCCCAATCCAACCCATCTCCACTTCCTTCTACATATTTGTTGAGCGATAGGTTCTTGGTTGGTTCGTTCCCAGAGCTCCTTGTTGCTTATTCCTATCATTCTGGCCATGTGATCTTCAGTAGCGAGAGTAAGCAGTTGTTGATGAATGTCTGTAGTTTATTGGAAATGCTTTTCGTAACGCACCAAGTCTCTGAACCATACAGGAGCACTGACTTGACGTTGGTGTTGAAAATACGCATCTTGTTCCGCATGCTGAGTGCAGAAGTTCGCCACACTGGTTTCAGGCTAATGAACGCCTGCCTTGCTTTTCCGATTCTGACTTTGACATCGTCGTCTGTGCCTGTCCCGCCTGTAGTTGAAGCAGTGCTGCCTAGATAGGTGAAGGAGGTTACTTCCTTTAAGTTTCTCCCGTTGACGGTGACTGGGGTTTGTTGTTGTTGTTGGTGCGGTATCTTCATCACTTCTGTCTTCTCTATATTCACCTGAAGTCCTGTCTTCGCTGCCTCTTCTGTCAACTTGTTAGTTTTCGCCTGTAGATCTTCAAGTTTATGTGACATCAGGCACAAGTCATCGGCGAAATCCAAGTCTTCTAGGTTCTTTTCCGCAGTCCAGCGTATCCCCCTCTTCTCGCTGCCCACTGTTTGCTGCATGGTCCAGTCGACCACAATCAGGAATATCATGGGGGATAGTAGACAACCTTGTTTCACTTCTGTCTCCACTTCAAAAGCATCACTGAGCTTCCCATTGTGAATTACTTGGCCGGCATGTGGCATCTTCATATAGTTGTTGAATGAGGCGGATAAAAGTTTGCGGTACTCCGTAGTAATGAAGCAGTTTCCAAACTACCTCTCGGTCGAAGCTGTCAAAGGCCTTCTCAAAGTCGATAAAGTTGAGGTGTAGAGTGACTGCCATTCTATACTCTGTTCTATGATGATGCGAAGCGTTGAAATTTGGCCTGCACATGATTTGTTCTTCCTGAAGCCTGCATGTTCCGGTCGTAGTCGTGAATCCAGTGCATCTTTTATCCTCTCCAGGATGATGCGGCTTAATATTTTGCTTGGGATTGACAGGAGAGTGATTCCGCGACAGTTCTTGCAAACACTGAGGTCTCCCTTCTTCGAGAGTTTGACTAGGTAACCCTTCTTCCAATCACCAGGTACCTTCTCTTCCTTCCACACCATCTGAAATAGTGGTGTTCGCATGTCTGCTGTTGTCTCTGCGTCTGTTCTCATTAATTCTGGCGGGATGCCGTCTGGTCCAGCTGCTTTCCCGCATTTCAGTAGCTTTATGGCGTTCAGGACTTCCATTTTTGTTGGAGGATTTATGTTCACTTGTAGTTCAGCGGCTGGGCTGCAGGTGGTATTTCTGGACGCTTTGCAGGTGGTGGTCGATTGAAGAGCTTCTTGAAGTGGTCGGCCCATTGTTTCTTTTGTTTCTCTTCTTTCGTAATTAAATTTCCCTCATCATCTTTTATTAGTTTCGTCTGCGTTGATCTCCTCCCAGATATCAATCTGGTTATTTGATACAATGTTGTCAGGTCTCTCCTACCAACAGCCTGTTCTGCTTCACTTGCCAATGTGTGGTAGAAGTGTCTTTTGTCTTTGCGCGCACTCTTCTTCACTTCTTTGTCCAGTGTAGTGTTTTATAGGTTGTGCTCAATTCCTCTTGTCGTTGAGCGTCCTTGCACTGGTTTATCTTCTGTTTCACCATCCTCCTCTCCTCTATCAGCTTCCAGGTATCCGTCGAGATCCATTCCTTGTCTTCTTTCTTCTTCCTTCCTAATACTGTTGTGCAGGTTTCTTTCCACATAGCTTTCAAAGACTTCCAGTGTTCTTCCACACAGGTTTCTTCAGGGATGTTACTCGATATCTCCCATTTTGTCTTGATGGCTGCCGTGAAGATTTTCTTTGTAGTTTCATCCTTCAGTTTCTGTTCCGAGTGTTGTACTTGAATTGTGGTCTATCACCAGCTTCCTTGAAGGCTTTTAACTTGATTTGGAAGGTTCCTTGCACTAGACAGTGAGTGGTTTGAACCTATATCTGCTTCTCTTCTTGACCTTGTGTTAAGTAGACTGCGTCTCCATTTTCTTGAGATTGAGATAAAGTCGATTTGATTTTTAGTGTAGTGTGTCTTGGTGCCTGGTGAAATCCATGTCGCTCGCTTTGTGGATATCCTTGTGCCTGAACACACTGCCTCCAATCACCAAATCGTTGAATGCGCAGAATTCTGCAAACAATTCTCCATTCTCATTCATTTCACCTAGCGCCTCTCGACCCATAGTTTGTTCTCTTCCTGTGTTGTCCTCTCTCAGTTTCCCAGTCATGTCACCCCACCCACTAGAATTCTGATGTCGCCATCTGAGGTGGGGTCTTGTCCAGTACTGGTTGCAGTTGTCTGTAGAATTCCTCCTTTTTCTCTTGCTCTGCATTATTTGTAGGTGCCTAGCATAGCATTGTATGATTGTGATCTTCCTTCCTTTTGAGTTGAATCTTGCTGTCATGATCCTGTAGAAGGAGATTGGTTCCCACTGCATGAGAGCTTTCGATGCTGTTGGGGACATCATGATAGCCACTCCATAACTCAGTGTGCTCGTGGTTGTCGTCTGGTTGACAATATCGGGGTAGATTATTGATTCTCCAGTTGACAGTTTGAAGAGTCCACTCCTATTCCATCTGCTTTCGCGAATTCCAAGCACTTCGATGTGATACCTTCTCATCTGGTTTGCGATCTGGGCTGCCTTACTAGTTTCAAACACCGTACGGACATTCCATGTCCCCACGTTTACTTTCGCTTTCATCGAGAGAAGACACATCGGCCAATTGGCTTCCCGAAGTCAGGCTTTCACCAACTGGCGTCCTTTCGCCTCTCCGATTCCAGCGAGGAATAAGTTTGTTTTCATTTTTTTAATTTTGTTTGTGCTTTGAAGTTTCTTTAGCGGTTAGATTTGTTTTACGGGGTAGGGTTGCTAGCCCTATGCCCAACCTTCCCTCTTTACCCAGGCTTAGAGCCGGCTAGTAACTAGTGAACTAGTTAACCAGGCGAGGTTCACCGGTATTCACAATAGGATCCTACATTCGGATAGGAAATTAACAACCTAAATTGACGAACATTGTGAAAGACCATATGTGACTGGTCTCAAGCAGACGTTCCGTGGGCTCTGAGGTCACACATTAACGCTTCTCATCTAAGAACACCATGAAGCACTAGCCTCTCATACACGGTGTAGGGAGCCGGGAAATGTCAGCTTTCCTCACAACTATCAGCATTCAAGTCCTCAGATCATCATCAACCTTCCGTATCCTCATATTCTAATCTTTCTTCATGTCTCTCAGTAAGCATTCTTATATCATCTTTAATATGTTCCAATTCTGGGGCTCTTGACGACAATGTGAGTTCACGGAATACCATCGTTGTTTTCCAAAAACTGCACTTCAAACTACACATTGGCGCCTACGATGTCTGCAACCTGATTCAAATCGACCGAAAAGCTTCATTATCCAAATGTCTGATATCTTATGTGTTTGTGAGACACGTTTACAGGTCCTAAGTGCGATTATTTACTTAATCCCACTCGGCCGATATAGTGAATCCACAAAATTCATGCTTCGAGCTTCTGGAGATTCGGTGGCTAGTTATTGCTGTCTCGCAGGTCTATGTATAGCATAAGGTGGTGAGGCAGAAAGTGCAGTGCTCGACTGGATCCCATTTGACAGTTGTCTACGAACTATTCGACTGAATGGCCCAATGAGGACCAGAAAGAATATTGAAACTCACTGTTGTCCCTGTGCACTACCTGCCCACTGCCTGCATTCTAGATTAAGTGAAGGGTGAGTTCCTCGGAAAACTGTCTGACTTCATACTGAAAGGAACCAGGTAAACAGTCATCGTGAGGGGCTAGTACCACTCAACCGGGAAAATTCTAGCTGCATCTCCAGTCTGTTGTAAAAAACAGTGTCAAAGATCATAGTTGACTCTTAGAAAGTGATTAGGGGGAGGTGATGAATCCTGCAGCTTCTTCTGAATTAATGGTTGCATGTAAAAGAATTCTTGCTGTCTCTCAGCACACTGCAGGGCGTAAGCAACTCAAATACAGACTGACAAAGAGTCTACATAATAACCGTCAGCAGGGTTGGGCAGCAATGGCTGAACAAGGCTGAAAAGGCAGCTGCGTTACGCAACACTAGACAGTTATTTAGGTCGGCCAAGCAGACTCGGACAAACAAATCAATGGTAAGTGAAACTATAGCGGATAAGGATGGGTCTGCGATTCACTCACAGAGAGTAAGACTGGAACGATGGGTGGAACACATCGAGGAACAGTTCGCCTGGCCTCCTGCTATCCTGTCGGATCCTGAATGGA